CAATTACTTTGTTTCAGGGCAGTTTGTTTTATCACCTTTAAGGGCAATATGTGAAATTGCTACAATGTGTTTGCTTTTTGTTTTGGAAGGAACAACTGGGTTGCATGATATGTTACACTTGATGGCCTTTGAAGTGTTTTGAAATGGTTCTTTAAGATTTTACCACATGCTCAAAAGTATACAATTTACACCAAAACTCCAGTTTAACTTTCATAAAAAATTGGCATTTTATTTTTATATAATGTAGCAAATCTCTGTTTATTCTGTCTTACAGGCTTTGGATTTTCTCTAAACCTTCAGCCGTCAGTTATCGTGATTGGAAAGTACTTCTTGAAACGGCGACCAATTGCAAATGGCCTAGCAATGGCAGGAAGTCCAGTCGTACTCTCTACGTTGGCACCTCTGAATCAGTATTTGTTCGACGAGTATGGGTGGAGAGGGAGTTTTCTCATCCTGGGAGCCCTGCTCTTGAACTGTTGTGTGGCTGGTGCTCTGTTTCGTCCTATTGGACCCACAGTTCTAAAATCTAAAAAACAAAAAGACAAAGGTGGTGATAAAGCAAGTGCTGGCTTTATGGAAACAGGGAAACTAAAGGAAAAGAAGGAAGAAAGCTGTATGCAAAAATTTAACAAAGTCCTTGATTTGACCCTTTTTAAACACAGAGGCTTCTTAATTTACCTTGTTGGAAATGTTATAATGTTTCTTGCATTTTATGCTCCAATTGTATTTTTAACACCATATGCAAAGCATCTAGGGGTTGATGAATACTCATCAGCCTTTCTTTTATCAATACTTGCCATAGTTGATATGTTTGCCAGACCACTTACAGGAATCGTTGCCAACACCAAGTGGATCAGGCCAAGAATTCAATATTTTTTCAGTGCTTCTGTTGTATTTAATGGATTCTGCCATCTCATGTGCCCGATAGCCGGAGACTATGCAGGTTTGGTGGTGTACTCTGTGTTTTTTGGATTGGGTTTTGGCATGGTGTGTGCATTGCTATTTGAAACTCTGATGGATCTTGTTGGCGTCAAACGATTTTCCAGTGCTGTTGGGCTTGTCACCATTGTGGAGTGTGTTCCTCTTCTAATAGGACCCCCACTTGGAGGTAAATATATTCCATTTAATTACACATTTTGTAACATAAACCAAAATTATTTTTAAAGAGGCATTTTATCTTATTTTAAATTTTAATAACTGTATTGCACTAGGAGTGCTTTCTCTGTTCCCTCCACCCTACTTTTCTCTCCTTAACTACAGATATCAACTGTACAGTGTAACAGGCTATAAGTATACACACATATATACCTGGGCTTGTAGACACCCTATAAGGGATCACACTTGCTTGCACTGTATCATCTGTTTGTAAATACTTCTCAACACTTGAGGGGTTCTATACATATTTATGCGCACTAGCACTTTTCTGTTTTGTGATTGTTCCTGTACCTTATTACCTGGTTATATTGTGGGTGCTGCAAACCTATTTATATTTTATCTTAATTTTCTGCGCCAACTTATCTACTGCACATTTTTTCAGTATTAGACTAATGACAGTTGCAAGAGAGGAATCAGTCGGGAGCTATTAACAGTTTAATTGATACGCATTTATGAAGAAGTGGGTTTTTAATGATTTTTTGAAAGAGTGGAGACTCCATATAGCTGCATATATGTATGTATATAAAGTGATCCAATAAAGGTGAAATGAGATACAAGAATATTGAAAAAGAACTATATAAGACATTAAGATGTGTGCTTATGTAAAGTTTTGTTAGTGTGTGAGAAAGCCAGAGTCTACATTAAAGGACCACTATAGTGCCAGGAAAACATACTTGTTTTCCTGGCACTATAGTGCCCTGAGGGTGCCCCCACCCTCAGGGACCCCCTCCCGCCGGGCTCTGGGGAGAGGAAAGGGGTAAAACTTACCTTTTTTCCAGCGCCGGACGGGGAGCTCTCCTCCTCCTCTCCGCCTCCGATCCGGCAGGAGCTGTGCGTGCATTCAGCCAGTCTCATAGGAAAGCATTTATAATGCTTTCTTATGGACGCTGGCGTCTTCTCACTGTGATTTTTCACAGTGAGAAGCACGCAAACGCCTCTAGCGGCTGTCAGTGAGACAGCCATTAGAGGCTGGATTAACCCATTTATAAACATAGCAGTTTCTCTGAAACTGCTTTGTTTATAAAAAAAAAAAAAGGGTTAATCCTAGAGGGACCTGGCACCTAGACCACTTCATTAAGCTGAAGTGGTCTGGGTGCCTAGAGTGGTCCTTTTAAGTATAAGCCGATTTTTTATTTTTATTTATTTTTTTTTTTTTTTGGGGCACATTTTTTGTGCTGAAAAAGCCCCCCTCGGCTTATACTCGAGTCACTGTAAGACTGCATGAATTATGGCAACTTACATTGCCATAATACAGACCAGAACCGCCAGGCTCATTACAAGTCCGGCGGTCCTGTTGGGGGCCGGAGCAAGCTGTTACCTGTGCAGCAGCTCCGTTCACCTCCCCAGTGTAAATCTCACACAGACCGCAAGATTTACACTGGGGAGATGAACAGAGCTGCTGCACTGGTAAGTACTACAGCCTTGCACTTTGTCCTGGTTGATTGCAAAGAAAGCCTACAAGTAAGTTCAGTGCGTCCTTTTGTCTTGGAGGCAGTTCTAGTCAGTGACCTGCTCATTTATTGTTTATACATGTTTTTGTGCTGAATGAAAGTGGTACACATACTTGAATACCCCCAGATTCGCTGTCTTTCATTTAACTCTTCGCATATCTATGAACGTTTTTCTTTCATTTGCTCAATTGGCTAAGGAATGCTGTGCCTCCAGTGCATCGATTTTAGATATTGTAAATACTGCCATCACCCTTGACACCTGTTTTTCACTCAAACACTCAATGATGATCTACCACCTGAAACTGAGCTTGCTCCGGCTCCCCCACTGCACAGCTAATGCTACTGGACCACCAGGGAATCATATAGCCCCCCTCGCTGGCCAGGTAACAAGCAGGGAGGGGGGACAAAAAAAATATCAAAATAATAATATTAAAGAAAATAAATTAAAATAAAGATATTAAAATAATTATTTAAAAAAATTTAAATAATAAAAATGCCCTCCCCCAACCCAGTTTACATTCATTATATACACACACACTGCGTTCACACAAACACACACATTCTGCATTCATTATATACACACACTACACACAAAGATTGCATTCATTATATACACACACTGTAAATAAATATTCAATTAATGTAATTTTTTTGGGTATCTAATTCTATTTGGAAATTTACCTGTAGCTGCTGCATTTCCCACCCTAGGCTTATATTCGAGTCAACAAGTTTTCCCAGTTTTTTTGTGGTAAAATTAGGGGCCTCTGCTAATATTCCGGTCGGCTTATACTCGAGTATATACGGAAGCGCTTCTAGCAGCTGTCAGGAAGGCAGCCACTAGATCCTGGATTAACCTGCAATGTAAACATAGCAGTTTCTCTGAAACTGCTATGTTTACATCTGAAGGGTTAAAACCTGGGGGACCTGGCACCCAGACCAATTCATTGATCTGAAGTGGTCTGGGTGACTATAGTGTCCCTTTAAGGGATCATATTCGAGCACATCTGCGAATGTGGTGTACATGATACAGTGTACAGTGTGTGACAAAGGTTGCTACATTGGAGAAACTGGCCTTAAGCTGCATCTCAGAATGAATCTACACAGACACTCAATCAAGAACCACTAGGAAAATGGATATTGTACCCCTGTTGGTCATCACTTCACCCAGACTGGACATTCCATCCAAAACCTTTAGGATTAATGTTCTTAAAGGGAATTTCAAAGACTCTCTTGAACGAATTACATTTGAGATGAAAATGATCACACATGTCAACACCAGAAATGAAGGACTTAATGTAGATTCTGGCTTTCTCACACACTACCAAAACTTAACATAAACACACATCTTAATGTCTTATATAGTAATTTTTCAATATTCTCACTTCACCTTTGTTGGAGCAATTTATAGGGATCGACCGATTATCGGTTTTGCCGATTATATAATCTGCGGTAATACCGATAATGAGAGTACTTTTATATTGAAGACATAAAAAACAAATATCATAACATAACTATTGCTGTTTTTTTTGTCAGTCTACATCAACTCATCATATGTTACCGTCTGGTGAAAAAAAACTGTTTTTTGATAAGGTGGGTTTATAACATTTTTAACGGATTCATTTTTGGTTTATTTACAGGTGCAATAGTTGATGCCTCCGGGGACTACAGATACATGTTTTATGCATGTGGTGGTACCATAGTGTTTGCAGGTTTGTTCCTATTTGTTATGAACTATTATAACTATCGGATGCTTGAGAAGGAAGAAAAGGAAAGACAAGACAAAGAGATTGAAATGAAAGAAGGCAATGGCTTCACAACAGAAAACAAAAAGCAAGCACTAAATGACACTGATCATGAGGTCAAAAATGGCCATGAGATCATAGCTGAACAATCTGAACCTGAAAAAAGTTCGAAAGAAGAACTTAATGGCTCAAAATGAGCATAGACATAAAGGACCTGAAAACATGATGGTTTTGTAAGTGTAGTAAATTTTCAGACCAAAATGATAATTTACTGTGATTAGATATGGGTACATTTCTGTCCTAAAAGACAAATTGGAGAAACTTGACATTTTTGACAAAACACATGAAACCCAGCTGATTATTATATATTTTTTTTCTTCTTTAGCGGGAAATCCAGGAAAATATTCCCTGGCGAAAATTAGTCCTATTGTAATTCAGGATTACTGAATTGACAACGTTCTTTTGCAAACATAAGATGTGTAATTTCACAAGAAGACAAAAATGGTAGCCCATTACTAGCATTGATCAACATACAGGTCCCTTGTATGTTGCTTTTGGATTCAAATACAATATATTTATAGATATATATCTCATGATTTAAATTATGTAACATAAAAAGATAATACAAGTGTTTATTGAATGAGCAATGAGAAATTATATAATTTTGAAGACCATTAAATTATGGCAATGTTTATTTAATGTTGCAATAAAAAATTACATTGTCACAATCATATGTAAAGAAGACTTATAACTGAAATTTGGATCAGAACATTGGAGAGTCTTCAGTTCAAGATTTTAATGAAACTGAATATCGGCTAAATTGAAATAAGTGCTCTTAGGTTTCTTTCATCTGCTTTAATAGGTTATTCCAACTACCATGACCACCTCTGCTTTTAGAAGTGGTCATGGTGGTAGCAATTTATATTTGCAGCATCTCTGCTTGAAACACTTCCTATTCGAAAAAATAATTCATTTTGTGCAGGAGTGTAATTGCACCCCCTGCACATGCGAATAATGTTAATGTTCGACATGTGCTAAAATGTATTTGAAGTTATTATTTAAAAAATATTCGTACTAGTTGTCAAACAAATCATTTTCCGAAAATCTGGTTAATTTGTTATCGAATTGTTTGAATTAAAATCCTTTAAAAGGGAATTTTAATTCGAATTAATTTGTACAATTTATGAATCAAATTGATATTCGGTATCGATTCTTTTGATGATTAGCATTAATTGGAGTAACCCTTTAATGGGTTAATCAACAAATGCTCCACTACCAGCAATATTTAATATTGTGGAAAGAAATATCTTTATATATTTCCTTGTGTAGTGATCATGTAAATTCTGTTTTCCCATTTTATAATTTTTCTTTGTAATGCCCATTTCAATTAGTTTTAAATTAAATTAACGGCACCATACATTTCATTTGAAAGATGTGCTAGTCCTTTGACCCTTTGATATGATCTCATGTGTTCTGGAAGCTTTAAATAGAGATGATAAGCTCAACTAAGGGGAATTAATATTACAGACATAATGTAAGGCACAATCTGCATCACTGCAGGAGAGTGTAGGCCATTTCTAAAATGTATATTTAATAACTGATTTCTCAATGATGGATGTTCTTTAATAAATGAAATCTAGCACTGCTGTGAAAGCATGACACGCAGGGAGCCACAGAGGGAAGAAGTGCTGAATTATGGTAGCTTTGAGGATATTATTTCATCATATAATGTCTTAAGGGAATAGGGAAACATGGAGAGTGCGTTGAACTACTATCCGCGAACAAGCACTTTCCCTATTGTGTCTTTGCTCTATTAAAAGAATAAGTGTTTGTTCTGTATTAATTGTTTTCTACACAATATTTTGTTTGTTTTATAGACTTCACTCATTTCCTAGTAGACTAAGGTGAACCTGGTTGTGCTCTTAATATGGTGGGCACTGGTCACTGTAAGTCTTTATTGGACCCGACTCAGAGCTTCACCCTATAATCTGACTGTCCATGACTAGTTATCGAATATACTAAAAGGAATACTCCAAATTTAGAAATAAATATATTTATTTCTAGTTTTGGAGTGTTCCCCTGTTCATCTAGATCAGACCTGCACAACCTGCACCCCCCTAGATGTTTTGAACTACAACTCGAATGATCCCCCTAGCTATCAGCCATGATTCCCTGGCTATCTGTTTCATTCAAAAAAACATGGGCATTGGCGATCTGTTAAATACATAATGGGTGTTAAGTAAAGAATCATTGGCATTGTAGTAGGAAAACATCTGGAAAGCCGCAGGTTGTGCATGACTAGTCTAGATTATAGCCTTCCCCCCTTACTTTATTTCCGGTCTCATACAATGTATTGGCTAAAGTGAAAATCGTGATGTATTAAAAGTTAATTTTTATGTAGATTTCGCATTTTAGACATCAGCAGATGAAGTAGAAAAAAAATCTTCAAATCCCCTATGTTTTAGCCTAAAATTTGAAGTTCACTTCAAACTCTGGTTGATTCATATTTTTATTGTATAATCCTGATTGAGACATTGGCGTAGGAGAATTTGTGATGGTGAATTGAAGGCAGATGTTTATAATGTCTACTATAGGTGGTGAAAATGAGACTGAATTCTACCAACACATAAAGACTACAATCTGTTTTCCAATACACCTATCTGAAGCTTGGAATCAAATTGTATGCTTTGTGCTAGAGAATTTATCTTCTCATGAATCTGATAGGGCTTGTCCTAAAACACTTGCTGATGGTTGTATAGGAAAATAAATTGTTCCATAATGGTGAACCACAGTGGCTAAAAGTTTGATCAACATAGAAGAACTGCTGTAATTCGGCATATAGACCAATTATTAAAAATATTTCTTTAAAGAAAGAGGTTTATTTTTTTATTATTAGCTTTTTTTATTGGGTGGGCTAGGGAAAATAAATGCACACAACTCGAATCAGCTGCTTTAACTTGATAAACTAAAACCTTATAAGTACCATATGGGGTAAGCCATAAATTGTTCTGAAACGGTTATTTAATCTAATCCTCAAATTTTAATAATCTGCTTTTCATCAAATTTCCCATTGAAACAGAATTGCAAAGTTAATAAATTCTGAATTATTTAGGGTTTTTGTGAATTGGGTTGGAAACATCCATTCTAAAATATAAATAAGAGTAACTATAGCCTAAGTCATCCATTCTTTGATATTTTCTATCCTTTTTAGAATATAGCAGCCTGCTAAATGCCCCAAACCCATCAATCATTCAACTCCTCTCATTTAAGCGATCACCATTTCCTAGAGCTTAATGTCTCAGTGTTATGTCTCAAAGTATTGTATGCACCCTCAGACCATTAAAATACCATGCTTTTAGAATTGTTAATAAGCAAAACAGGATACAGATGAGAACTGCTATTGCTATTAATAAGTATGACTTATTAGAAATTCAATGTGAATTTTACATTACAGGAGAAAAAAATCACTGAAAAGAAATGTTTTTTTGTTGTTGTTTTTCTTTTGTTTTCCCCAGCTTGAAATTTTCCCTGAACAGTCCACACTTGAATACTATAGCAAACCCTGTAGTTGTGTGTCAGAATCCTGAGTAACACTACAAAAACCTATAGGTGCTCAGCAGTGGCCTTGCATGCTTTATGGGAAACTGGTCAATATTGTAATCCCATTGGAAACACATGTGGACCCACTGGCTGTTCTGATTGTTTATCAATACTACTCAGGTGGCCATTAGTCCCTCCACCTGCTCTTGAAAGGTTATCCCGAGCTTCTGTTTGTATAAATGTAAATAATTTTTGGACTCCTGAATAGTGATTATCTGGAAAATGATATGGATATTGATACTGTGATAATCGATGTAATATTTATTTAGCTATTTGGGTATGTTTTAATTCTTGTAAGTGGGGATAGATGTATAAATAAATTAATATAGAAGCAGTTTGTGTGTTTCTTTTCAAAAAATATTGTGAGATGAAAATGTTTATAACCGAGGTTGGGATTCACTGCTAGGGACGTTTTATTAAAGAGATTGGAAATTAGTTCTAAAATTGAGAGAGAAGATAGTTGGCTCCACCTGCTTTGATAGCGGTAGGGTCTCCGTGCTGTCATTGCGCACTCTATAGGAGGAGGGGCCACAACTCCAGTCCTTCCACCCATACCAGACTTCAGGTGGTGGAAAATATCAGGGTCGGCACTGCCATAAGGTGGCACAGGCACCGCTTTGGGGCACAAGATTCGGCTGACCAGCAGGAGAGCGCATTGCACAGCACTCCCCTCCAGCCAGTCACTTCTGTGTAGCGTTGCCAGGTCGCGGACTGGGGGAAAGGACCTTCAGTAACCTCCACCCCAGTCTGACAGGAAGTATGCTCAGTGGTCGCTGAACTGCTCCCTGTTACCCCGGGAAAAGGTTACTGAAGCTCCTCTCCCCCACTGGTCTGTGACTCGGTCACGCTACACAGGAGTGAGCTGAGAAAAAACATCGAGAGAAGAGGAAAGGTGGTAAGATGCACAGATGGGGAAGGAAATGAGACTCATGGGAGGGCGCGGAAAATTAGATGCGTAGAGGGGGGGCAGGGGAAATGAGACTTATGGAGGGGCTGTGGGAATAAGACACATGAATGGAGAAGCTGAGGGAGGAAATTACACACACGGAAGAACTTGGGGTAATGAGACACATGGAGGGGCTGAGGGTAAGAAATGAGACACATGGAATGGAGGGAAACTGGGGAGGTGCAGCACCTAAGTAGTCCTCGGTTTGGTATATGTAATGAAGGAAGAGAAAACAAAGAAACAATAGTGTAGTATGTAGAACTAGGAATTATGTAAATAAATTAAAAAAATGCACTCAGACTTTTTATGAGCTTCAATACAGCTCCAACTTATGTGCATGGGTGGAATAATCCCCACCTAAGGATCAAGTGCAAGTTAAATTCTTTGTATGCTTGCGGCAGTGGCCATTTTTAAAAAATGTTTTTATCTACATCATTCCCAGTTCTACATACAACACTTGTGTTCCTTTGTTTTTTTCTTACTTTATTACATATACCAAACTGAGGACTACTTAGGCGCTGCACCTTCCCCCTGTTTTCTATCCAGCTTTTTATCGGAAGAGAGAGACTCTGTATTTGGTACTAGAGCTGCCATTTGGACTGTAATCATTCGACTTAAGCATTGAATTATAATTGTATGTTAACATGGAATGGAGGGGCTGGGGCGAATAAGACACATAAAGGGGCTGGGGCACACACAAACAGACATTGAGAGGCTGGGGGAGAAAGAAACAAGGTGCTGAGGAAAGAGACACAAAAGGGGCTTGGAGGGGTACAAAAAGACACAGAGGGGCTGGGGGAGAGACAAATCGACAACCAGCGACTGTAGGGATTAAGAGACCAGGTACTGGGGGAATTGACATGCATTGAATGAATATGTTGATGGCAAGTGGAGCAAAAAAAAAAAGACATTCCTAGTTGCCATCTTGCCGATACTGTGCTGAGTATACCCCACTGATGGACTGCCCAAATCACAGGAGAAAGAGCGAAATCCCTTGTACTCACATTGCCTAACCTTTCAGTGTGAACTTAGAAATAGGAAAGGGTTTTTTTTACAGGGTCAAGAATAAACATTTTTTCAATTTGTTTGCAAAATTGGAAGCGCTTCAAGTGCTTTTTGCCTTATTTTGGATCAACAGCAAAAACAGATGTGAGAAAGGCTGAACTGTATGGACACATCTCTCTTTTCAGCCTATGTAACTACGTAACTATATGCCAGAAATAGACAATTTAGAGGGACACTGTATGCAATATAACCATTTTAATTCATTGAATTGGTTATAGTGCCTTGAGTCCCCTGGCATTGTCTCTACTTTATGTGAAACCATTTTGAGCAGTTTAACACTAATTAAGGGCATCTGGCCCCCATTGAAAATATGGGTAAAGTAATGAGTAATTACACACATAATTCTAGCCATACCAATTCATCCCAGCAATGGGCACTGTGAGAGCCTGAATGCCTTAACTTGACATTCTTAGCCAATCACAGCTGGCCGTTGCTGAATAGGCGAACACTTCCTCATTAGCCTAAACAGCACAGAGGGGATGGACTGTTGAATAAAAAGACTGTGTCAGTGTGCTCCATACACTAGAACCAATTCAATGACATGAAGCAGTTACAGTGTGCCTTTAAATAGTACTTGTTTCTGCCATCTTTGTTAAGCGAAGAGAAGATCAGTGTTTTTACTTGCTAGTTTTTCCTATGTTAATATTGTACTTGTGGGGTTATACTTCTAAGTTGTCTTTGTCATGGTAGTTGTCATCATATAATTTGTAACCCAGGTGGATGCTTTTCTAAGTTCTGAGATATACTAGAAATCTTGCATTGCAATATCTCTGGAGAGGTTTTTCACTTATAACTACTTAATATCTACAGCATCTCGCCATAATGTTTATCCATTGTCTTTATCAATATATATATATATATATATATATACATCAGGCATAGGCGTCTGCAGGAATATTTCCAGGGTGTGGGGGGGAGGGGGGCGGGGGGCATAATTATAATGACATCCATGTTTGGCCCCTTTTTGACAGTGTCGTGAAGGGGAGGGGCAAAGCCATCACATAAAGCCAGGGTGAATAGCATTTTCACAACTATGGTGTCTGGAATACATGTATGTATTCCTGACACTATAGTGTTCCTTTAATCAAATTAAAGGAACATTCTGATCATAACAACTTCATCTAAATGAAAATGCTATGATGCTAAGGGGTTAAACCTCTCTCACATGGTTTAACCCCAAAGACTTCCAGATCTCCAGGTTGCTCAGTGGTATTCGAGTGTCAGGAAGGGCAAATTGACATCAGGCATGGGTGCCACTGATTGGCTAGAGTCAGCTGACGCTCTAAGTCAATTGCTAGTTCCCGGTTCATAAAAATATTTTACTTTTTGTGAATGGGGAGCTACTGATTGGCTTAGAGTGCCAGCTGACTGCTCTAAGCCAATCAGCGACACCCCTACTCTCCTTTTGTCCCTTCCTGCCCCTTGCAGACCCTTCCTTCTTCTTGCAGCCCCTTCCTGCTTCTTACTGACTCTTTCTGCTCCTTGTAGACCCTTCCTTCTCCTTGCAGACCCGTCCTGCTTCTTGCTGCCCCTTCCCGCTTCTTGCTGCCCCTTCCTGCTTCTTGCAGACCCTTCCTGCCGTTTGCTGCCCCTTCCTGCTCTTTCCGACCCCTTCCTGCTCAATTATGTTCCTTTCTGCTCCTTCTCCTACTTTACCTTTGTGCTCCTTTTGCCCCTTGCAGCTCCTTGCTGCCCCTTTCAGCTCTTTGCTGCCCTTTCCAGCTCCTTGCTGCCCCTTTCTGCTCCTTCTCCTACTTTACCTTTGTGCTCCTTCTGATTCGTTATGCTCCTTTACCTTTGTGCTCCTTCTGTCCCTTCCTGACTCTTTCTGCTCCTTGCAGATGCTTCCTTCTCCTTGCAGACCCTTCCTGCTCCTTACTGACTCTTTCTGCTCCTTGCTGCCTCTTCATCCTCCTTGCAGCCCCTTCCTGCTCCTTGCTAACTCTTTCTGCTATTTGCATATCCTTTCTGCTCCTTGCAGCCCCTTCCTGCTCCTTGCTAACTCTTTCTGCTATTTGCATATCCTTTCTACTCCTTGTAGACCCTTTTGCTCCTTGCAGACCCTTCCTACTCCTTGCTGCCCCTTCCTGCTCATTTCTGCCCCTTCCTGCTTATTTCTGTTCCTTTCTGCTCCTTCTCCTACTTTACCTTTCTGCTCCTTCTGTCCCTTCCAGCTCATTGCGGATCCTTTCTGCTCCTTGATGTCCATTCCTGCTCATTTCTGTTCCTTCTCCTTTCTGCTCCTTCTCCTACATATACACTGTTAAATACACAGGATCAGGCAGAAACACACAGGTACAGGCAGTTACACACATAAACAGTTACAGGCAGATAAACACACTCACACAGTTACAGGCAGACAGAAACACACACAGTTACATACAGACATGCACACGCTTAAAATCAGACAGTAACACACACATAGAAGCTAGGGGGAAAAAGTCTGCGCTGGATAACAAAAAGATAAGCAGCAACCCTAATTAGGAAATCCCTCAGAACCCTAATAAAACAAGCTAAAATGGGGAAGGGGGGATAAGGGCTGCACTAAAAACTAAAACACTAATAAATAGCAGTAAAAACCAGACCAAATGGTCACAATGAAATAGTAACAGCAAAATAGGTCTATAACAAAGTCTCAATAAAATAGATAAAAAGAGTCCTTAGAAGTGGTATATAAATGAAACGTCTCACTGATATAGCTGGATGGGATATGTGTACAGTCCTCAGGAGTTGATCCGTCCGGGTTGTAAAATAATCCGTTTATGTGGAGACAAAATTGGAAACACGACAAACTGCCAATGGTGAAGTATTGCGGATCCAAGGATAAAATAGATAAAAAGAAAAGAGGATAATACACTCACATTTGGAGGAGCTTGGACCAGCTCTAGGATGAAGGGCGATTAGCGGTATAATCCCCGCTACAGGATATACTGGAAGGGTGCGTCTGTCAATCCAACCTTGGTACTCCAAAATATATAAAAACAGCGATAGCGCTCTCAATTGGAAAAGTTAATAGGAATAAATAAAATAAAATATAATTACAAATATATAGCAGAAAATACTGCTCTATTAATACAGCGCTGGTGGAATAATCCCCACCTAGGATTTCTTGACTCAGGATACAAATACAAATAAAATAAAATATACTTACAAATATAGTGCAGAAAATACTGCTCTATTAATACAGCGCTCAGGATACAAATACAAATCTAGGCAAGTGTCACTAGATCTTTCAGGTTACAGTTCCTTTTACTTGCATTGCTGTCCTCATAGTTATTATTGCTGACCGTT